CATGAGCTTTATACAAACTGTTCTCAAAGAAACATTATTTAGAACATAGAAAACAATACAGACTCTGAATATTAAAAAGTGCGTACACGTCCTGTTAATAAAACATAAATAAATTATCAAAAGGCAGCAACACATACTCATGCATCTGCCCAAAATAACTTAAACATGGTTTCAGTAAACAGGTGATCTAATTTACAAGGAGAAAGCTACACCACACATGGGTCTGGGAATTGGGCCAATATTGTTTGCATCTCTCAAATTTTCCGTGTTCTGGTTTTGAAGATGTGCTGTTCCTGAAGCTTCACGGGGTCATTGGCACAGCTCCAGGCCTTACAGAGGGTGAACTGAGTGCAGTCAACAGCCCAGATGGGATAGATACCTCCCTTACCCAGGCGGGAACCAGCAGTCAGTGCCTGGTTATGATGGCACAGACACTTGGTTGTGCCTGCAGGGAGAACTGAGCAGCCATGGGTAATAAGGCGCAGTTGCTATAACTGGTTAGGCCCCTTCACAGAAGCTCGCCGACCTATAGACAGACTCCTTGCTCTCTGTTGTTTGTTACAGATTTGCAGCATCCACAAGTGTGTTACATGGGTGGAAGAGGCAGCGTGCTCCCAGTTCCTTCCTTTATTCCAGTGTTTAATGAAATTAAAAGGTATTGGAAGCTAAGTGTACAAGAGCCTCACAGAAAATACAAGGTGCCATCTACAAACAATGAAGCTGTCCAAGGCAATTCCTGATATAAAAGTTAAAACCACCCACTTTTTATTGATTCAGCTAATTCACATCAGTCGGGCAACGGCTAAAGTAGCGAGGATCAAAATGTTTATAGCATTGCTATGTACACGTTTTGATTTGGGTTTCAGATAGTACCGTGGGTAAATAACAGCCTAGGAGCTTAGGCACAGGCAGCTGCTATTCCCATAAAAGGAGTCCTCCCAACTAACCAATGTATGCTCAGAGTGGTTCTTTAAATTTCATAATAAAGTCACTAACTTTGGTTTATACAAGAGATATAGATCTGCTTGCTCTATAAATCTAGTACACGATTCAATATATACTTAATCTAACAGGCCTTCTGGCCACGAAGAAACTTCAATATAATTAGGTGTTGTTGGGTACGATTACAAAGAATTTAGTGTACCTTCCGCTGTCACTGAAACATCCATATAAACCCACTGTTGGGAGATAAATGTCACAACTCTACGTAACACACCAGACCATCAACTGTGAACTTGGGAGTGGTAAATTAGTCTTCTACCGCAAGGCAATTAATCTGAAATTGCTCACATTTCTAAAATATCGTGTAACGCAAGCACTTGTTGGTGTCGAGTTAATGAACAAAGCCAAAGTAACCTCATGTATAGTAAACACACCTCTCCCCCTACTGTGGGAGTCTCGAGTCCTGGCATCAGTGTTCACTGGCACCTGGCACAACCTGCCTAGACCCTGCACCTTCCCAAGGGGCAGTTTGCACTCCCCACCCCCCATGCTAAATGTTACAAAACTAACGTCATTGAAATGTCACTTTCCCCCACCCCATTTCAATTTGTACTGGGACCAATCAGAAGGTCCAAGTTTTAAAATCACAGCCCAACAATGAAATCGTGAGCAATATTAAAGCATGAAAAGCAAGAATTTTTACAATCCAGTAACTGGTAGAAATGTCAGTGAAGAATAATTGGAACATTTACGAGAGATTTGTTTTGTTTCAAACACCATTAACAAAGAGGGAATGAAATTCAGTTTGGAGTCTACATGTTTACAGCTTATGATTCTGCTCAATATAAATTAACTAATCTACAACCACCCGCATTGATCTCACACCCAGGAAGAAGAAACAACTGTGCAAACGAAGCAATGGAATCAAACAAACCCAGAGTCCGTAGTGTTTGAATTTTGCATTCGATTCAAAGTCCTAAGGGATAAACTTACTACAAAGTACCTCAGTGCATTCAACGTGCTGGTACTTGCATAGTAATACATTGTGTTAAGTGCATGCAGACAGGAGCACGAACAGTCAGTACAACAAGCTTATGTGGAGACCTCCAGTTGCGTAAAGTAAAAGTGCAATCGGGTTTGGTGAATTGGCACCTGAATTATTACATCCCCTCTACTGGTCTGGGCAGAAATCCCAACTCCCCAACCAGCAACCTTAGCATAGCTGTCATCATCATGTCCCCCAAAACCAGGCCAATACAGTTGCCCTAAAGACTTGCACTGTCAGAGCCGAGATGAGCTATCAACTGTCACTTCGAGGGGAAGGCAAGAATGAGACATTGCTGGATTGGTTGGAGTGATGCACCAGCCCACTGTCTCTTCAGGCCCATTGGCTTCAATGTTGTGTTTGCCTACTTAATAGTGACTATATTTCAAATGTACCACGCTGGCTATGAAGCACTTTTGGATATCCTGAGAACATGAAAGGTGCTGTTATAAATACAACTTCTTTGCATCTAGCCAGTTGCACAATTTAAATAATTGCAGCCCTTCCTGCAATGTGAACTCTAGGTTGGTGGGACACACACACACGGTTGCTGTTGTGTGGTGTTTTGCACAATTAAATCAAAGCCAAAACCTCTAGCTTCTCTATACAGTAAGTGCAACCTCCAAATGGTGATGAAACCAAAGCTCAAGAAGCTACTTTCAGTACTTGTTTCATTCCTCTGGGTAGGACATCACATGCAGTTCCCATCCTGCTTCAGAAAAAGCACTTAAAAGTGCTTTTATTTATAAAATATTTTACAATTTTAAAAGGCAAATATCAGCATAGTAGCACATTGCAAACACACCCTTGTGAGGACAAGAGTAATGAAATGTATGAAACTGAGCAGCATAAAGTCAGTTTCACAATGATTTGACTGTAAACACTATTTCCATTAAAGCCTCCTTAAGTCACAGCTCAAATATAAGTGAATCAGAGCAATGTTTTGGTTTAGCTGGTGTAATATAGAGGATTCTAATCTATGATAATTTGAAATGAAGCCTTGATCTCTGGCCAGGAGATTGGAGAACAGGAATCACAAACTTAAGTTTTAGAGCTGACCTTTTGTCCCAATGATCACAAAAATTACATGAGGAGTGGAAAGAGATTCAACAGGAAAAGGATCCATGATAGACTCAACAACATTAAGTAATTGACAGAATTCACAAAAAGTATGATTGCCGACACCCTATAAGATTACATTATTACATTAAAATTAATCTGCCAATATTTATAACCCTGAAATGTCACCGGACAAATCTAAAATGTAGTGCCTGACCATGGGCAGTAGAAACAAATTCAACAGTAAATTTTCAAAAGGGAATTAGATAATTACCTGAAAAAGAAAAGTATGTGCAGGACTATGGGGAAAGCATTGGGAAAATTGGATAGTTATTTCTATGAGCTAATAGGCACAATGTGTTAAATGGCCCCCTCAGTACTGTAAGCATCTATGAAATCAGAAATCAAGCTTTACAATTATTCATGCAGGGTCAGGAAATAGAAACAAAAGCATTATGTAAAAAACAAAAAGCAGCATTTTCCTCCATACTCAGAGTCTGAACGTCACTCACCATTATCCTGACCTAGGTCAGCTGTGAGCTTATTCCCCATATGAAAACTATTATTTGATTATCTTTGGTGCACAGTAACCATGAACTTTCAACAGGGAGACTGGAGTTACCAGAACACTATCTGGTGACCCCAGAATGCCTTCCCTCAAGCTGCTGACATCTCTGTCTAGGACAGGAAATCTCAAAGTTCAGACTCAAATATTACACAGCGCTTAATATTTTCTTATTTCAGTCTAAAATTTGAGCTGAATTGTTTCCTTGGAAGATTGAAGACCAAAGCCTTTGCAACAAGGTGCCAATAGGTTGCTGCATGCTATGAAATGGCAGAAAGACGGATAGATGATGTGCTTCTGGCAGGTGAATGCAACAGTGAAGTGAGGAGCTCTTGCCCCTTTTGGCAGTGTGGGGTTCAAAGCCTTTGACCCATGGAGTCTGGAGCAATAACTGAAGTTGAAATCACCAATTCTGTTAAATTGCAGATATTCAAGCTTTTGATAACCAACTGATGACATACAAACTAATCTAAAACTCACTCGCCAAGCTAACAAAATGTCAGATGCATTACAGCTCATTGTACTTCTCCACTCTCTCTTCTTTCTGCTACATAGCTGCTGTGATCATTTTAAAGCGGCCACAACGCAAGAGAAATAGTCAGCGCTCCCATTCATTCCTTGTGTGTTCACCTGAAGTTTGCTGTTAAACAGTATTTAACATGCAAACAAATCCTCATTGGAGAAAATAAAACTGATTACCTAATTTGATGGCTTCCTTAGAGCATGCAGTAGTCACGTTAGTCTTAAAAAGAACATTTGTAAAAAAAAAACTTTTAAAATCAAACCATTCATTGAACAGTACATAGTGTTATTCACCAACAAAAATTCTTTAGGTCAATACAAAGTGCTGTGTTAAAACCCAACAGAGAAGGCCAGCCTCTGCGGAGAAAAAAATAAGTTCCATGATCCTCGCATAGCACATATCCATTATTTGGTTTGATGGCACAACAAATGCACTTAAAATCAATATCCTCCCTAACCAATGTAGGCACATTAACCACAAAAAAATTAAAAACTTCCTCCAATAGAAAGCCAGTGTAATAAATGGAGAAAGTGATAAGAAAGAAAGAAAGAAAGGAAAGAAAGGAAAGGAAAGAAAGGAAAGGAAAGAAAGGAAGGAAAGAAAGAAAAGAAAGGAAGGAAAGAAAGAAAAGAAAGGAAAGAAAGAAAGGAAAGAAAGAAAAGAAAGGAAGGAAAGAAAGAAAAGAAAGGAAAGAAAGAAAGGAAAGAAAGAAAAGAAAGGAA